GGTTTTCATTTTTCCACATGAAGATGCAGCATTGTTTTTGGTAAAGGTAATCATGTCAGCCTCTACTCTGCACTGCTGCCTCTTTGTGGAAATCAAGTGTGTGTAGAGGTATGAGTCTGTTTCTGGATTCTCAATTCTTCCATATTTGTTGATCCTTACACTACCATTACTCATGTCAAAATTATTTTCACCTAAAAACGCCTGTTGGTGTCACACAGAAAAAAAAAAAAAAAAAAAAAAAAAAAAAAACCCTTCCCTTCTAATTCTTTAAGTTTCCTTTTTGCTTCTAAAGGCTTTATAAAATACTACTGATTTGGGCAGACTAAGCACTGCTTTGGCAAGCGCAGGATTAAACCCTGGTCCCACATGCTGTGCTGGCCCCGCCCCCAGGGCGCACTGAGCCAGCCTCGGGCTCAAGGCGGCATGGTGGTGCACACCTATAACCCCAGGGCTGGGAAAGCTGAAAACAGGAGGATCTCTACAAATCCAAGCTTCCTAGTGAGACCCTGTACCAAACACATAAATGAAGAAATACTAATAATACCACTGATTCTTCCGTTGGCCTGCATCAGTCATCTTTCACTGCCTAACAAAGTACTCCAAAACTTAGTAACCTGAAATATCATTTTCTTAATCTCAAAGTTTCTATGGGCTAGCAGTTCAAACAGGACATGATGAGGGCAGCTTATCTCTGCTCTGCAGTGCCTGGTAGCTCAGCTGGTAGAAACAATGTTCTGGGAGGAACTATCTCAAGGCTAGTTCATTTGTGTCTAGACATTTATGCCACTATCAGCTTGGACCCTCACTGGGGCCTGGGATGAAGCACCGGCTTGTGGCCTGTGTGTATGACTTGAGTCTCAAAAGCAAACCTACTTAGAGGAAACGAAAAGCGGTATTGATGTTAATCATCTAGTTTCAGGGGTCGGTCATGAAGCATCATTTCCACCGAACTTCAGTGTTTGAGGCAGTTTCTGAGGTCCATTTAGGTACAATAGGAAGGGTGGCTGATCTATTGCACTACCACTGAATGAAAAAGTGCCAGTGTCACACTAAAGAACGTACAGGATGGGGCACATATGGGTATGGCCATCTGTCTTAGTCATTTTTCTCTTGTAGCTGAGACAAAAATGCCTCACACCCAAGATTAAAGGGGGAAAAGTTTATCTAGCTCACAGTTTCTAGATTTTTTAGCCCACAACTGTTTGACTCTAAGGCAGCACAGCACGTCGCAACTGGTTAAGGAAGCAGAAAATATGCCAAAAAACAAAAATTAAGGGAGAAAGGATAAGCCTCTTTCTTTCCCTTACACTGCATCCAGTCTGTTGAGATTAGGGCAGTGGAAATCCAATCAATGGACTGATCCAGCAATCACCCACCCTAGTCCCAGCATTGTCTCATGAGCCAGTCACACACTCTAGACCCAGCCAACTATGAAAAAGCTTCACTATGATTCTCTGGGGGGAACATCTAGACATAAATCATAATATCATCTTTGTAAAGTGCAATCTGCCATAGACCTTACATCCATCAACCTTATTAAACTCACTTATGCCTTCTCACAATTTATCTATATATTCTTTTAGATTTTTCTGTATGTATAATAATTTATGGAAACCATGCTGTTATGTTGAGCTGTGGGGGACTCAGGTCAATAATTACTGACATTGCCAGTTAACAGAAGACCCAATGCTATTATGGGCTACTGGACTCTTTTAGAATATTTTGCTGAGTTTACACACCTATAGTATTCAATAACGGAACTTAGAAACAATGGGGTATACAGATGAATGTCCATTTTGTATCTGTGTATTCAAAGTGGTTAGGATAGATATATAGTTGCATTCTCTTAATGAATAGAATGATTTGTTCTAATGGTGTCTGTAAATAGGATCTCAAGTCCGCATCTTGTACAGCAGTTAACCACTAAGAAGAATATATGCAGTGTGTTATTTGTTGAAACTGTACTTCCGATTTGATTTGAAACTGTCTCATAGCTATCTGTTTATCAACAAAATTTTGAAATAATAATAATAATAATAATAATAATAATTTATGGAAAGTGACAATTTTATTTTTCTTTTCTTTTTTTTTCAAAGTTAAAAATGCATCAAACACACCTAGCTTTTATTTAAATCACAAGTTTGTAGTCCCCTTGGTACACCCTCCTTGGGGCCCAACCCCAGCCAACCAAAACTGATGACCTTGGGGTGTAGGTAATATGAGGGGTGGGAATGGGGAAGGAGTATCTGAGAGCTGGGTGGGGGCCAGTTTCAGGGTGACCTAGCTTCTGAAGGAAGATGCTTTCCTGCTAGTAGAAGGAAATCAGGGAAAAAAATCAGATAAACAAATGAGGGTACAATATGTATTTGTAAGCCTTCCTTCCAAGCCCCTGTCTTGTAGGGGAATCTCCTCACATCATTGTGCAAGTTGAACTGGGTACTGGTTTCAGGCAACTGAAAGGGATCTCCACTAATCCCCAACACTGCCCCCAAACTGCCCCTTAAGGAATGAGGCAGATCTGTGCCCAAGTGTGGGATCTCTCAATCTAGACATAAGTTTCGGAAGCCAATCCACAGTATATAACCTGCCTTTGCCAGGACAGCAAGTTCAGTGCAGAGCCATCCTTAGGCAGGTTGGTTGGTCCTGGGGGAAGGTGGAAAGCACTGTTGCTCCCTAGTGTGGAATGCCTACATGGGATGCTGCTAAGGGCCAGAGCAGGACAGTGGTCTCTAAGTGGTGTGAACTGATCCTACTCATTCCTCCACACCTGAAACTCCTGTGCTGGGCTCTTCCTGTAGGGAATGGGTGGAGCTGAACCACCATTCCCAGAAATCCAGGACTGGGTTCCTAGGGACAGGAGGAGGGGGCAGGGCTTAAACCACTAGGAATGGGACCCCTTCATCTAGAGCAGTGGTGGTAAACCTATAGCACACGTGTGTTTGTTATCAAAAGGTCTAAAAGGCTCACCATCACTGATCTAAATTCTTCTTCCAGTGCCTAGATGGGCTAGCCTGGTGGTTCTCAAAGAAAGGATGGAACAACAGCCTACCATTTCCCAGGAGACCTGGTTAGGCTGTTGAGGTGACAGAATTCACACTTCAAGAGCTGATGAGATAGCTCAGCAGACTAAGCCCATGCTTAGGCAAGCACAGGGACCAGGGTCTGATCCCCAGCACTACATGTTGCACCAGCTGTACCTCTCAGCTGAACTGGCCACTGAGACCAGGCATGGTGGCGCATGCTTGTAATCCCAGTCCATGCTGCACAGTGAGTCCCTATACCACATACCTTCAAATAAAAAAAAAAATTCACACTTCATCCCATGTCCCTTTTTCTTACAGGGCCAAGGGTGGGACGCTCAGGGTTTTCCTACCTTCTCCCTCTGAAATACCTGCACTGGGTTATTCCTTAAGGAAGGGAAGGGGCATATATGACTCCCCCCCCCTTGGCTCTTACAGGGCAAGGGCAGAGCCTAAATCTCTTCCCCCAGAATTCCTAGACAGGGCAGTTTCACAGGAGGGTGGGGGAAAAGGCAGAGCCTCATCCTCACAAGTCCTCCTTTCCTGGGTGGGGGAAGCCCCAGGGGAGGGGTGAGGCCTGATCAGGACTCCTCCTCCATGCTGAAGCTGCTACAGTGGCTACTGACCTTGGAGACAGCCAGGGGGAGACTGAAGATAGCAGGGCATCAGAGGCAGCCCGAAGTGGGGACAGAGTACCCCAACAATCCTCCCACCACCCTCTCTTCTTCCTCCAATAGAATGTCCTCTAGCCCCAGGTGGAAAGGGTCTCCCAGGTCCCCCAGGTGGTCGCTGGGAAAGTGCAGGTCCAGAAGCACATCCAAGGGTGGCACTGGGATCTGCTATTGAGGAGCACCCTGGACAGGTCCCCGTGCTACACATTACTGTGCTTGGCCTGCCCTCCTCCTCAATGTCCAGCTGCTCTGGCTTGAGGCTGTCGGAGGCCAAGCTCATAGACATGGAGAGTAGCCCTGGGGCAGGAGACACTGGCAGACCGTGGATCTGGGCCTGCAGTTCTAGCTCCTGAATCCGAAGCTGCAGGCTTCGGTTGGCTTGCTCCAGAGATCTCTGCCGGCTCCCCAGATCCTTGGAGCGCTACTGCTCCTTCTGCAACTTTCGGATATAATCCACAGAGGCCTTCAGGATGGTGCCATTGTTCCAGTGCATCTCCAGTCATCGGACTTGAGGATGAGGGTGCCAAGCTCCTTGATCCTATCATTATGTTGAATCGCCTGCGATGCTCAATCAGGTTGTGACTGTCTTTCTTCTGCTGCCCCTTCAAGAGGGCTTTTGCCTTGGTTTCAGAGATTTCCCGTTTGATGTCGGACAACTCGGCTGGGCAGGAGTTGCTGACAGTGATGGCTGATGCGGCCACACTCTGACTACTGTACACATCAATAGGTTCTCTGACACAGGTAGTGTGCTGTGGAGCTACATCCCTGGGGTGCCTCCAGGCAGATAGCTGAGCATCTCATTGTAACTGGACTCCAGACTGATGATCTCATCAATGACATCATCAATCTCCTTCTCTGAGCTGGACCCAGTGGTGAGCAGTGCCATGGGACTGTTAGGAACACTGCCTGGGGGGCCAATGGCACCGGCAGCCTCAGGAGCAGGCAGTGGCTGGGCACGCATGCGCCCTGGCGGTGGAGTGAGAGCCTGGGAAGCCAGCTTGGACCCAAGTGTGGTGGACAGGTACTGTTTCACTTGCTGCCGGCATGCTTGCTGCACATGGTAGCATGTTGGGTTCTTCAAGTGGGTCTGAACCTTGAGTACCCCCCTTGGCACCTGAGCAGGTGGTGGACGGCTCAGTGTGTGGCCCCCGGCAGAGACGCCAACCACAGAGATGGCTGGAGAGGCAGGTGCACGGCTGCAGAAGGGAGTGGCTGAGCTTGTTCCCTGCGCTCACGACTCTCCAGCTCTTGTGCCTGGGCCCGCATGAGCTGCTGCCACAGCACGACCCTCGATGAAGACGTCGACAACATGGCAGAGGTCCTGGAGCCCCCTGCAGAAGACGATGCAGACAGTGTAGCTGGGGTGGCTGGGATGGCCTGCAGTGATTTGGGAGGCTGGAGCGTAGGGGTAGGGGGTGGCTTTTGCGCTGGTAGAAATGTCTGGATCAAGGATGTTTTCTAATTCAATATCAGCAACAATTCCAGATTCCAGAAGCAGACAGTTCAGGCTGAAAGTGCCCCTTAAATTCACTCTTCCCCTGTGTGACTCAAGGACTCTAAACTCAGCCTCTAATCAGTCCCCCAAATACAGCGACCTGGGACCTGTTTCTGGATACTCCAGAACCTGCCCCTCTAGACCCAACCTGGTCCCCCAATTCTGACTTTGCCCCCCCTTAATGCACTCCCACGACTCCTTTAAGCCTCAGTTCAGACAAGCTACCACCAGATTCCTTAGATGCCCCCCTCCAAGCATAAACCAAGGGCCTCCAATCCCCATCTGGATCCCCAGATACCAGCAGATGAGGTCCAGGGAATTCCAATTAGTACTCCCAGACCCAAGCGTCGGCACCTGAGCAGCTGGGCCGAGTCTGCAGACCTGTGTTCCTCCAAAAACACGAATACTGCTCAAGGGCCCTCTGCGCTGGGCTCTACACCCGTCCTGAGCTCGCTTGTCTTCATGAAACATGCCGCCCAGCCCAGGGCTAGCCCTGCCAGTCGGGCCTCAGCCCGGCCCCCTCTAAGAAAATAAGAGCCCCCCTCCCGCACTGGCAACTGCCTCCTCCTGTGCTAAACCATGGAGCTAGGCTGTGTGCAGACAAGTTGGGTCAGGAAGAGGGGATGGGCCACCATCCCTCACCCTGAACAGACGGACACCCCTAACACCTAACCCCGGATGACCTCCCCCATCTATTTTTCTTTTTAATCCACATATATTTTGTTTATATTTTTGTCATAAATATGCCTTATTACAATGTTGAGTACAAATGGTAATGAGGATGCCCTTATTTTATTCTTGATTTCAAAGAATATTTCACTATTAAGAATGATTGTTGTACTGGGCATAGTGGTGCACACCAGTAATCCCAACATAAGAGGCTGAGGTAGGAGGATTGCCACAAGTTCGAGGCCAACCTGGGCTACATAGTGAGTTCAAAGCCAGCCTCGTAAGACCTTGTCTCAAAAAATAGAAAATAAAAAATAAAATTGTTTTTGTTGTTGTTGTTGTTTTAATTTTATGTATTTGGTACAGAGTCTCACTACGCAGCTCGGACTCATAGTGATTCTCCTGTTTCAGCCTCCCCAGCATTGAGATTGCAGGTGTGCGCCACAACACCCAGTCTTGGTGGCCAGCTCAGCACACCCAGGGTGGGACTGTCACTGCATGTGATACCAGGAATGGAAACCAGGTCCTTACGCTTGCCCAGGCAGGTGCTTAGACCACTGTGCTATCTCTGCAGCCCTGCTCTAGTTTTTTTAAAATACACACTCTTCATCAAATGAAGAAAGATCCCCTTCTAGTCATAGTCTACTGAGAGATATTTTGCACCAAGAATAGCTATTAAATATTACCTAATATTTTCTGTATCTATTGAGATAATCATATAATTTTTTTCCATGTTTTGGTTTTCAAATCAACCACTTTGCATCTCCAAAATAAATGTAATTGGCTTGTGATAATGTCTCCTTTTATGTAGTGCTGTATTTCATTAATTTTTCCTAGGATTTACTGCACATATGGAGTTTAGCTCAAAATTTTCTTTCCATTTTTGTAATGTTCTTTAAGATTTTGCTGTCAAGGTCATGCTATGCTCACCAAATGAGTTAAAATTGTTCTGTATTTTCTACTCTTTCACAGGGTTTGTATAAACCAGTCAGTTTGTGTCTAGTTGTCCCCCCAAAACCTCACATATGGGCTGGAGGAGCAAGTGACTTGAGTTGAGAGGCGGGGCCAGAGGACCAGGGTGGGGGGCGAGGGGCGGGGCCAGAGAGGCGCGAACCATTAAACTGGCTAGCCTGCGCTTTCTGAGAGATGTGGGGAGGGTCACCTGGACACAGCAGAGCCCCAGCCTCTCCTCCAGTGTCTTAAAACCTCCAGTAACTGTGAGCTAAATAAACTTTTTCTTCCCTCATTTTGAGTGTTGGGTATTTGTCCCAGCAATGAGAGAAGAGTAACCAAGACACTGGATTTCCGTCCACCTTTTCTTTTATTATTGCATGTTAGTGATACAAAATGATGAGGCTTCTTTTGGTAAATTGGCACATGAATTTCATATATCTTGATTTTTTTTTTTTAGTCCCATTATTTCCCTATTCTTTTCTGTCCTCTCCCTCTGATCACCTTCCCTATCCCTAACTTTCTGTCATCTCTTGTTTGGTTGGTGGTTTGTTGTTTGTTTGGTTGATTGATTGATTGATTGATTGATTGATTGATTCTCACATAAGAGAAAACATGCCATATTTAACTTTCTTAGCATATCTTAGTTTATTTAACATGTTGGTATCTAGTTCTACCAAATTTCCTGAAAATGACATGATTTTTTCTTTATGAATAATAAATATTGCCTTATATATTATATATAATGATATAGCTGAGGGACACAATGCCTACATGACAAGCATGAGATCCTGAGTTTGATAACTGACACCAAAAAAAAGTCAGTATTGTGAATTTTGTCTCTATAAATGTGAGTATGTATGTATCACTATAGTATGATGACTTTCATTTTCTTTGGAAAATATCCAGAGTGGTATAACTAGATCAAATTACATTTCTATGTTTAGTGGGTTTTTTTTCAGGAATCTGTGAATTGATTTCAGTAGTGTTTGCACTAGCTTCCCTTCTCATTAGCCTATAAAAAGTTTTCTTCGGTCTTTATGTCCTCACCAATACTTATTGATGGTTGTGTTCTTAGTTACAGTCATTCTGACTGGGATGAGACAGAATCTTAGTATATTTGATTTGCATTTCTTTAATAGCTAGAGATGTTAAATATTTTCTTATATACTTACTGGCCATTTGCACTTCTCTTGAGAAGTGTCTATAAGGTTCTTTAAAAAAAAAAAAATCTTTCTCATTATGGGGGCCTGCCAGTTAGCTCAGTTGTTTAAGTGCCTGCTTATGCAAATGCAGTCAGGCCCAGGATACTGTGGTTCAATCCCCAGATCGTCATGCCTCATGCCTTACCAGACCTGCCCATAAGCAATCCTGAGCCAGCCAAAAAAAAAATCCTTCTCAAGGTTCTTTTGCCCATTTTTGAATGGGTTATTTGTTTTGGAGAGTTAATTTTTTGAGACAAGATTTGATATCAAGAATAAACAAGTGGGGGAACTACCCGCTCGGGCCCCCCTTCTGTCCCTCTCTTGGATAGGAGCTTTCTTTCTCTCAATAAATATATTCTGCTCACAAAAAAAGAATAAACAAGAGGTATTTTGTAAAATTTCAAAGCTTCTGCACAACAAATAAACAATTGTCAGAGTGAATAGAAAGCCCACTACTGCCTGGCAAGACCCAGGTATTGAGTTAGGTTCCCCATACCAAAGAAAGGAAGGAAGAAAAAGAAGAAAGAAAAAGAAAGAAAGAAAGAAAGAAAGAAAGAAAGAAAGAAAGAAAGAAAGAAAGAAAGAAAGAAAGAAAGAAAAGAAATGAAGGAAAGGAAGGAAGG